CTATCTTTGTCAAAAAGAAGGTCTGAAAAATATTGGGCCCATTTTTGTGGAGATATTATGGCAGGGTCTTGTACTTCCAGCCTGGAGGAGCCGGCCACGATGGCTCCAAATGATTCATTGTTTTTCTGGGTCACTTCCTTTTGGAGCTTGCTGCATTGTTCCCAGATAAATGTTTGACTTTTTTCTTTTACACAATTCCTTAATTGAGTTTTTAGTGACAGCTATATGTGCCAATCTTGGGCATAGTCAGTCTTCCTGTATTCCGTAGACCAGATAGGCCATAAAGTCGGTGCCACTGTGTATAAGGCCCTGCCTCTTGTGGATGACCTTCAGGCCTCCCTCGGGGTGCCTACTCAGAGGAGCCTAGCCTGGGAAGATCTGGTGGGTTGGAGAAATGACATCGGGGAGAGACACTCTGACACGTAACGTGTTCATTAAAATCACTGGGACTTTTTATTTATTTGCCTTAAGTATTCAACTAAAAATAAAATCAAAATTCAATTATTCACGAAGGCTTTCACGGCCACAACAACCAACATTCAATTAGTTTTTTTGGCAGAGATATTTTTTAAAAATTGACGTTGAACAGAAGTTTATGTTTTGCTACTACTCGTTAAGAAAAAATACAATGGGTGGCAACACCTACAGAATGAAATACAGTTATATTGATTCAGATTGTTTTATCAACAGGACTTAAACTCTTTAATTCCTCCAGGAGCTCAGAAAAGTCTCGTGATGGAAGTGCGCAAGCTGTGAACGCCAAGAGAAAACCTTTGCTGCAGTTTAAGCATCAGGCGAGCACTAAAAGGCTTTTCACTGCTTGTCAAGAGATTTAATTTTCACCACGGAAAAATGCTAGTTTTGAACAAGTACTACATCTCCTTTCTCAGGCCGTCATTTGATGCAGCAAAAGAATCCGTCCCTCAATCCCATCTAATTTACTTTTCAAATAAAAATACACCAAAGGAAGAAAAAGATTTGTTTAATCATCAATGGCATGTTAATCCCACATTCACTCTCTCCTCTCCTCCGTACTTTATCATAGCAACTACACTGCGACATGGACTGGCCGGAGATCATTCAGTGAACTTCATGTCCGAGTAAGAATATGAACCCAGGTTATTCAAGTTCTAGTCCAACGTCTCCGTCATACAGAATTTTCAGGGGTGAAATGGGCTGCAGCAAGGAGGAGATACAAGAAAGGCCCATGGTGCAAATCTACTTCCCCTCCTGTTACTCTGGATGTTATCTGTACTGCATCATTATAGCAGCTTGATATCACTTCTACTGCCATGGCTCCATCTTATGGGGCCCTGGGATTTGTAGATTAGTGCAGTACTCAGACGTTCCTGCTGTAGTTCAAGGACATCCACTAATGCTCTCTTGCAGGAAATTTTAAGTATCTCATAAACTAAATAAGGTAGGAGTGTTTACTGATCACCCCATTTTTTCTTATCGTTAGCTATGTTGGCTGGAGCTTATGGGAGCTGAAGTAAATATACCCTGGAAGACTGCAGTTTTCACAATAGGTTAGCCCCCAACCTCATAATATTCAGTAAGGTACTCCTGCTGGATCCCTTTGCTTTTCCCAGGATCTCTTTTGAGGTGTAGTTCCCTTCTTGTGCACCTAAAAACATGCTCTAGAACAGTGGTCTCCAACCTTGGGTCTCCAAATGTTCTTAGACTACAGCTCCCAGAAGCCTCCACCACCATCTCTGCTGGCCAGGATTTCTGGGAGTTGAAGTCCAAGAACATCTGGAGGCCCAAGGTTGGAGACCACCGCTCCAGAAGGCTCAGAAATGTTCAGCATGGGTGCCATGGAGATTGACACTGGGAGGGGAAGGCAAACGAAGCTCCAATTTTAGTAATATTGGTCACCACTGTACACTGCCGGATCTCGGCAACTGAGTTGATGCAACTTGGCTGCAGAAATAGATACCACTTGAAGAAAAAAAAGAGAAGTGACCATCGTTTGTTGGAAAAAGGGTTTTGTTTCCAGTACAAATCCAAAAGAAACACTCCACATACAAATAGACAGTTACCATATAAATAATAAAGAGACAAAAACAGCCTTCCTTACTACTCCATCCACACCACTTACAACTGGCTAGACTAAATCATTACACACTCTTCAAGACTCCCTGAAAAATGCTACAATGGCAAACAGCCTCCCTAGTGGTCTGAAATTATGGGATAAAAACATTCGATGATAATCAATGAATAAGAATTAGAGATGGGCACGACCTTCTAGTTCAGCAGTCCAGTCCAGTTTTTTTTACCACTGTAATAGGTGTTTGGCAATTCAGAGCCCTGCCCCCACTGGCAGGCACCCACTTAAAACCAGCATTCCACCTTCCTTGCCCTGCCTCCTCTGGGAGGTGCTTCTGAGTGCCCGTCTCTAGCAAGAATTCAATTTTTTTTTTTGCATTGGTGCCTTAGCAATATGTTTTCTACAGTGGACCCTCTACTTAAGGAATTAATCCGTATTGAAACGGTGGCTGCAAGTCGAAAAGTCTGTAGGTCGAATCTCCATTGACCTACAATGCATTGAAAACCAATTAATCCCATAACTGGCAGTTTTTATTCTATTTTTGTTCCATTTTGGTTTTTGTCTGGTCTGTAAGTTGATTCTCCGGCTGCAAGTCGAATCTAAACTTTGTGGCCAGAGAAGTCTGTAACTCGAAAAGTCTGTAAGTCGACATTCCACCTTCCTTGCCCTGCCTCCTCTGTGAGGTGCTTCTGAGTGCCCATCTCTAGTAAGAATTCAATTTTTTTTGCATTGGTGCCTTAGCAATATGTTCTCTACTAGCAACAGAAGCTCTATCAATAAAGTCAGGCTGAGCAATTTTACACTTACCTTCCACGGTCTGACCTTCTCGTTTCAGCATCTGGACTGCTCCAACATATTTCTTTAGCTGTACTTTGAGCACCTCGTTTTCTCTGCAAGTACAAAGAAAAGGGGAAAAATAATCTGTCATCACAAAAGATTCCTCGTGCACAAAAGAAAAGAAACACAAAGATGTATGAACTGGATCAAGTTATAAAGTAAATGGTAAAAAGAACTGACATCTAATATTCGAAACACTAGAACTATCATCAAGAAAATGAAAGCAATTGTTAAAATTGGATGAGTGCTTGGGAAAGTTACTTTTTAAAATACAATTCTCAGAAACCATCCCAGCCAGGGAAATTTTCTGGCACCCAAAAGTTACTGTTCCAATTCCTGGCTTTACTATTGGCAACTAAGAGGCATATGGGAGAAAGACTATATGTAGCTGTAGTATTGGTCCATTTGGCTCAATACTATTTTCTCCTAAAGCAGTACAACTCCAGCATCTCAGAGGGAAAAAAAGTATCTTCCATCTCTGCCACATGAAAGCAATCTAACTAGAGATACAAGCCATCACCCTGGGGCCAAGGCATGGACTCCGCTATTAAATTTCACTCCACAGAATGCAAAATACAGTGTAATAGAAAATGTAGTTGACACAATTATCTCAACCCCCCTGAACCCCTCTTATGAACTGCAGAGGTGCAGGGCTGACGCTATCACGAGGTTCTTTTGGATGAAACCAATGCCCTTGACCCATTTCAGTCCAGATTCAGGCTGCATCATGGCACAGATATGGCTTTGGTGGCGTTACAAGATGATCTTCTGAGGGCAGCCGATGGGGCAAAGTATCCCTGCTGATCCTCCTCAATCTCTCAGTGGCCTTTGATACAATTGACCACAGTGTCCTACTGCAGAAGCTCTCAGGGTTGGGGATTGGAGGCTGAGCACTATCCTGGCTCCAATGCTTCCTCAAGGATTGTTCCCAGAGCATCCAGCTTGGGGGGGGGGGATGGCTTCTGCTCTTTGGACTCTATAAATCTGGAGTCTCTCAGGGGTCAATCATCTCTTCCCTGCTGTTCAACATCTATATGATGCCGCTGGGGGAGGTCATCTGGAGACTCAGAGTTTTGTGTCATCAATATGCATCTCCACTGGAGAAAGAGAAGTCCCATCATGGACCACAGAATTAGGAGAGGGGACCCTGGAGGTGTCTTGGAACTATGAGCCATGTCACTGTCGGACCTGGAGGAATGACCATGATGTTGTGTTGCAGATGGGAGCAGAACATCGTGGTCGTCCAGAGGCGCAACAACAGAAGCAGTAGATGTCATCTGGAGCTGCCTCGAAGGGAAGGGAAGTGGAAAATTAGGATCCACGGGTGGTAATGGAACAATGTCGAGAGAAGGCCCATGGATATGTTGGGAAGTCAAATGGTGCGACTTGTGTTTACGCTTACGAGGTTAGGGCTCGGGATCTGAATGAGATGGGGACCTAATGCATCATGGTGGAGACAGCGAAGTGGATTGAGAGCAGACCGTGGAAGCAGAGGTGTGTGGTGGTCCTGGCCAATTAAATCAAGAGTGAGTAGGTGGGCTTGAGGAGAAAGAGGAGGTGACTGATGTTGGCCATATCTGTAAGAGGACAAATGCAGGTCCCTGCTTCTGTAGAAGTAGTCAGGAGGACAGAAGTATGGATCACAAAAATAGTCCATCCTATGCTGAAGGCCCAGTGAAGAACGATACGGTATGGATCACAAAAATAGTCCATCCTATGTTGAAGGCCCAGTGATGAAGAACGATACCAAGACCAATATCAAGGGAAGTGCGAATGAGAGTGAGAGCATCTCAAAATTGATGGTCTCAGGCCACAGTGCTCTGCAAGGAGAGTCCAAGAGACTGTGTTGAAATGTGGGCGTGTCTTCCGATTGCGATGAGTGAATGGAAACAGCCTCAATTTTGCACTGGGTCAGCAGCTCTGTTAGGTCCTGGTGGGCTCTGAGAGGGGGGGCGAATCCAACCATCAAGTCCCCTGTGCATCCTCCCCAGCATCAGGGGGCTGGGGGGAATGCCCATTTCATGGTGACAGTCTTTGAGTCAGTAGTCTAGGAGATGATAATGGCATGCTAAGAGAATCAATGAGCTATAGGCAACTCTCCCTCCAACACAGAACTCACAGCAATGGGGTCGGGTTGTCGATCATGCACACCCGTAGAATGGAGTGCAGGAGTGAGCACTTTCAGGGGGGCAAAGAGGCTTGTCACGGTTGACTCCAGGGAGTTTCTTTCATTTTTTAGTTGGCATGTTGGGCTTTGATTTTTGAAGGTCCCAGTTTCAAGCAAGCCTTGTAGTTGTTATTCCAGTCCCGCCCTGGGAGGCTTTTGTGCTGTAGATAACTGAAGAGTTCAAGAACAGCAGTCGTAAGATCGAATCCACGTGACAGAGTGAGCGCCCGTTGCTTGTCCCAGCGGTTCGAAAGCATGCAAATGCAAGTAGATAAATAGGGACCACCTCGGTGGTCGCACTGGCCATGTGACCACGGAAGATTGTCTTCGGACAAAACGCTGGCTCTATGGCTTGGAAACGGGGATGAGCACCGCCTCCTAGAGTCGAACACGACTGGACAAAAATTGTCAAGGGGAACCTTTACCTTTACCTTTATGTTGGGCTTTGATTTTTGAAGGTCCCGGTTACAAGCAAGCCTTGAAGTTGTTATTCCAGTCCTGTCCTGGGAGGCTTTTGTGCTGTAGATAACATTGTTGAAGAGTTCAGAGATTGTTCCCGAAGGTGGTATTGTAGCCTGGATTGCCTATTCGTTAGGGTTAATTTAGTAAAACCCCTGCAAATGGAGCAGGACTCGCCCGCCAACAACTATAAAGGAGGAAGGGGAACACGAAGGAAGAAAAACAACCAAAAAAAGGTCTACTATGAGAAGAACAGAGAGGCTCCAGGGCAAGCCAAGGACATCCTTCTCTCACAGTGGAAAGAAAGGAACTAACGTGCAGAGGTGGGGCTCCCATCATATACAGTGGGGTCTTGACTTGAGAACTTAATCCGTATTGGAAGGCGGTTCTCAAGTCAAAAGGTTCTCAGGTCAAATCTGCATTTGCCATAGGAATGCATTGAAAACCATTTGATCTGTATCTGCTCTTTTCCGTCCATAGAAACTAATGGGAAGCTGCTATTCTGCCTTCGACCACTAGAGGGGGATATTTTGTTTCTTTTTTTCTTAGGTCAAGAAAGGTTCAGGGAAGGCAGGGAAAATACAGTCCAGGCAGGACAGTGGACCCTTGACTTACAGAATTAATCCGTATTGGAACGGTGGCTGCAGGTCAAAAAGTCTGTAGGTCAAGTCTCCATTGAGCTACAGTGCATTGAAAACCGATTAATCCCGTAACAGGCCGTTTTTGTTCCATTTTGGTTTTTTTCTGGTCTGTAAGTCAAATCTCAGTCTGCAAGTCAAATCTAAATTTTGCGGCCAGAGAAGTCTGTAACTCAAAAAGTCTGTAAGTCAAGCCATCTGTAAGTCAAGGGTCCACTGTACCCAGAGAAAACGAGGCTGACACCCCGGAACATTCCGAAGGATCGTCTGCACAGGCACAGATCACCCATTGTGTAACTACACAGAGGCCACAAAAAAGAAGAAAAGTTCATAGATTATCCTAAGTAGTCATGGGATCTAGAAAAGAGACTGCAGTCTTCAAGAGTCAGCTTGAGATGTAGTGTTTCTGGTTATGTCTTGAGTAGAGATGGGGGCATTTGTATTCATCTACGAATATGAATATCCCGGCACAGCCCCATGGGGCTGGACGGTCCACTCACTGACCTGCCGCTGCTGCGGATGCTACAATTCTTCCAATGGCTTCGCAGATCGCAATCGTCTAGCCACTCCTGGCAGGAGGCAGGAGGACAAACCTCGCTGAAAGGTTGAAGAGTGGCTCGCATATCATGATCTGCAGAGCCACTGGAAGAACTGCGGTTTTTGTGGCAACAGCGGATCAGTGAGCGGACCGTCCAGTCCCATGGGGCTGGATTCTTACTATTTCCTCCTGTGCGAGGATATTCGTATACAAACACCCCCCTCTCTCTAATCTTGAGGGCAGTCGTATCAGTTGCCTATCTTTGCCTGTATAAACAAAGATTGTTTGCAGCAAACAATTAACTGCCTTTTTGTACAAGCATAAGGTTTCTCTGCTAGCTTGGAGCAGAAGAACTGAATAAAGTGGCAATTCCCAAATCAGCAAAGCTGCAGATTAAATATAGGTGGTTTTCACGCAAGAGGCAAAAAACAGTCACCTGTGTCATATTATCAAAAATGCATCATTTTTATGAGTTTCTGTTACATCTGTTATAGAGCATGAAATGCTACTCGGAAGATTTCTGCCTGCTTCCTTCAATTGGGTCAACAGTTGGTCTAGTTCTGGGCAATTCACAGGCTAGTGGCTGCACATTTCATGGCTCCGTGCCAAGGACAGATTATTGGCACAGCTTCAAATGCATTGCCTGCAATACCCAATGGAGCACAGAAGAGCACCCCAGGAACAAGAGGCTTCAACAAGGCACAGAGAACTAGAACCCATCCATTCCATTTTGCGAGACTGAGTTAGTCATCATTCTTTTGCAAACAGTTGTTAGTTAAATCAAGGACACCTTCTCCCTCGTGCTCAACTTGTAGAAATGATTACTATATAAAAGTGACATTAGGAAACAGCCTTAAGAGATCTCTCCAAAGAATATTGGGAAATGCAGCCGGCCGCCGCATTTTGTTTAATAGTTACAAAGCTGTCAAGTCAGATTTCCAGTTAGTGCAACTGAGCTGAATTCAGCTCCTTATCAGAACTTTACCAATTCCTCAGTGGCAAAGGAGTACACATTAGCAACAATGAAATTTTAATGATGCTCCCAAAGGCATTTTATACAGTTTATTGCTCTTATTTCCCATATGTGTAGAATCTAAAGACCACGGCAAGCATTACTGTTGAGCTTGAGAATGAAAACACCGTGACTAAGATTACTGTTTGATACAAACAAGACTCAAACAATTATAGATCAGTCACAGGTCAGGATCCAGTGGGGTACTTCAATATCTAACACTAGCAGAATCAGGATTT